TGTATAAGATTGAGCTTTCCAATATTCATCGGTGCTTTCCCTTTATTTGCAGATGACGATACAAATTCTCATACATGCAAGCAAGTAGACAAGAAAGGGAAAAAAATAATTACATTATATATATATTAATTTATAATTACAAAAATATAACACTTGTATATATTATCTATATTATTAACTAAATAAGTTGTTTTTATGTATATATTTTTTCTATATATATTAATAATGTATTAAATAATGTGTGGTCGTGGGAAACGTAGGTTGTGGCATAACTATTTCCTGGCACCTCTAGCGTTTGAAGTAGATTCTTCAGAGTAGCTGCTGTCGGTTGATTTAACGCCGTGCGCGAAATTTTTACGGTAATTACTGGTACGCGTAGCACCTAAGGACAATTGCGCACCAATTTTATTAGCCAACTGGAATAGAAAAAAATCATTCATTAAACTAACCCTTCACTTTGGGCATGTTACATGTAACTCGAGGATATACTGTCGTTTGCTCAATATATCGAGAACCGTTGATAAACTCTTTGTACTCCCTCTGGGACTGCCGGAATTCGGAGAGAATTTGTGTAATTTGGGCTTTGTTCTCTCTCGAGTCAGATTTGTTGAAGGTCGGGGATGGAGATGGCGAAGACGAGCATACCGCTCCATCCGGCTCTGGTCTAATCTGTAAAAAAAAAACGTGTTAATTGCAGGAATTACCATCGCACATATGATCCATCATCATCTTTACCCCATCGCCAAGGTCCAAGTTGGGTGGTAGACTAGACCAAGCTGTGTCATCCATGTTATACAGCCTGAGCTGCTGCCGAATGGTAGCCTTCTCCCTGGCTCGCTTCTTTTGGAACTCCTCCTCGACACGCTGCATTGCTTCCAGCTCCTGAAGTCGCTTTTGCTCTTTGCGTTCCGCTTCTTTGGACAATTTATCAGCCAATCGTTTCCTTTCTATCTGTCGGACGGTGCTCTGGAACGTGAACTTCTTCGTCTTTCTAGCCGGCTTTTTGGCCGCTTCTAACCGCGGTGGGTCTTGTAGATTCTCAGGATGTGTCCGTGACTCTGCTGAGAGATTGTCGTACGACTTTGATAAGTGCTTCTTCCGACTGGGCTTGTCGAATGTGGATTGTGGAAGGTACATTATTCGTCGCGAATTTGTTTGTACAGGATCCTCGCTCTGTCTGTATTGTCTACGAAGCTCTAAAGAATTAAAGCCATTATTTAAGGAATTCGGAGCGGATTTACTGAGAAACCAATTCTCATCTTGTTCTAGATCCAAATCGGCATCACGTTTGTTCGCCAATGTCGCCAGCACTCCAGACATGGATCGCTTCAATTTTTGTAAACTGGAGTACGGTTGCAGAGAAGTCTTCTCGTTGATGTACGCGGCCAGGTGGTTTTCACGAGGTAGAGATAAACTGAAGACGTGAGGTCTCGTTGGAAATTTTACGTGGTTCGGGAAATCAGGATTAGATCCATCTTCCAAGCTGGAGTCGTCACCGAGGTCTTGCTGCGGCGTCCACGAGATACCTCTTTGTCTGGGACTAGGCAGCGCCACCTCGGGTGTTTCATCTCCGGAGATGCCTGAGTCACCGGACTTATCCTGTATCGACCTTGAGCCTAGAAGAAGACGATATGGTGGTGGAGGCCGTGATAACTTCTCGATTTTGTCTTCAATAAAAGCAGACGTCTCGTCATTCTGCATCGTATTTTCAGTCTGATTGGTGTCTACTGCAGAGAGCAGCTTCCAGGCTGCAGCTGGCGAAAACCTGGGTATCTCCAACTGCTTCTTAGGCAAGATCGGTCGTAGCTGCAGCGAGATATCATGTCCGCTGGTTTCCGTCTCCGACTCGCTGGAGATGTCCGATCCAAGGGAGTTAGGTATCTTCGCATGCTCCATTCCAAAATAGAATGTTTTCACTTTGGGCGGTGACTGCTCGGGTGACGACTCTTTCCCAGAAGCGGGCGTCCTTACATCGTCGTCCACCAACATGATGTCCTTGAGCTTATTGATCATGTGCTCCTTTTTACTATTCAAATTGTGATCGAGCGTTCGCAATTTGTTCACTTTGGTTTCGACGAGCCTCTTGGTGGCCTCTCGCAGCTCCTCCTGGAACTCGGGTGAACTCTTCGTTCGTTGCATCTGCGGGATTGACTGTCGGTTGTTATTGGACGTGGGGTTTACGCCCGGTCGACGAAATTTGGTCTCATCGCCGAAGAGGTTCTCGCTGGACTTGTACCGGTGGTGGTGGTGTTCCTCCTCTGACACCAGCACGTCGCTTATTGATCTACGATTATTTACAGGACTAGAATACTTCTTCTTGGTTTCGGCGCGGGTCTTGAACAACCTCGCTCTTCGGATTGGTGATCCGCCCTCCATTCCGCACCCGTCGTCGAACTCCGGCTGGAAAACAATAAAACAATAATTAGCGCACTTTCATTGAGTAATTACGCGATCTAAATATGGTACCGCGTATACTGGAGGCGGTGGAGGCGCCTTATACTTCTTGCGGCCTTTGTATTTCTCATGATTGTCGTGGCTCGATTTCGAAGGTAATCGAAGGTCAGGCTCTGATCCAAATCTCTTCAGCTAAACACAACAAATTAGATTAGTCCCATTTACGTATTACTGATACATTTGTTTAGAAACATACTATGAATGTGTGATACAATTTAACGAAAATATATAACTTCAATGAGTCATGTATTTTTTATTTCCCATAGTTTTTGTCTGTAAAATATATATGTAAAAATGTTTTGCATTTCTCGTTGTTCATTGCACATTATATAATATCAACGAATCAAGTAACATGGACAATTTATTACATAATGCTATGACTTGTAAGACATTATCGATTTTCGTCGTACACGTTATCTAATTCTGCGCATGACTGTAATCGAATCCATATATTCAAATAAGATCATTTTGTTTCAGTATTTTCAGTTTATATTAACATTGACAATGTGAAAATTAAACTTTGCAAAGAATGGTAAATTTCGTAACCTACATATAAGACAGACACATTATTATTAATTAAGAATAAGCGAATGCTTTCAAGAATTTGATCTTAAATGTTAATTCTTTCATAATTTACTACAAGCTAAGTATAAATGTTTATTTCTTATATTTACTGTGTTATAAGTGAATGCATTTTACAGTTACGAATGCCAAATATGTCTAAATTATGCACAGTTATAAAATCGTATATAAATACATTCAAGGTAATGATATTAATAACGGTATAGGTATAAATAAAATTTACATAGAGAATATTTATTTCAGATTTGTCCACATCAAATTTTTGTTAACAAACGTATTAGACTTATGTAATAAGTTAATCAAGTCTCAAAATATATTGTTTTGTGTGTAATAACATTAGAATCAATATTTAATAGAATTTAAAATTTGTTATTTTGTTTATGAAAAAAAAAATAGAAACTTCTGTCACTTGTAAGTAACAAAATTGTTTTATGGAAAGTAAAATTTTGATTCGACGAATATTAATGGGCGACCTATTTACTCCTAGAATTTTTAAATCCAATCGAATTTTGTATTTCGAAATTGCTCTTAGCCATCTGTATTTCCAATGAGACACAACATTATACGAGAATATTTGTAGTTAGAATTATATGAAATATATCATTACACATTTTTCAATGATCGCTGTTGCTATTATATGAAATAGCTAGATAATGTATAGAATATTTCACACTGTAGCTACTTGTAATAGATTATTTAGCGGTTTGTGGTGTCCAATTTTAGAAAAAGTAATTCTTGATTTTCAGTACAAATTGATTGAAAAGAATCAAAACTATATAATAAAACTTACTTGAATAGAAACATTTTTCTAAATATATCTTCCAAAATCTAATCAACCATACATCAAATAATACTATGGTAAAGAAGAAGATATAAACTAGTTGTCAACCTCTAATCACAGAAAACCATGTCACATATAAAACTATTTTCTAATAGTTATGATCTACATCTTTTTTAGAAGATTCTACTATGATATAAGCAGAACTATTCTAAAGTATAAACAAAACATGGCACCAGCATTACATAAAAGCAACAAAGTATTTGAACCAAACGAAGGTCAAATAAAGGGAAATGAAAATTCGGAAGGTTTCATAAATAGGGCCCTATTAATAGAAAAAACAATGAAGATATGTTACCTGATCTTTGCGGCTGGATGCGCGTGCGTTTTGTTTATGCTGAGTCCGGACCTGTGGTCCCGGTACATGCCGCTGCCGGACAGCCGGAATACTGCTGGACCTGCTGACGCCCTGCTGATTCCTACCGGAAATGGTACCACCGGCATGCAGGATCTCGCCGTTTCCGGTCGGCCGCAGCCGCTGGTGCGCATCCCTGTCGGGCACAATCAGCTTGTGCTGATATGGGGTCCGCGGAAAGGACTGGCTCCACTGGACCTCTTCTTCAACGGCGACGCTGGCGATGCCAGCCACACTTATGCCCGTTTGCTGCTGGTGCTGGCTACCGCTGTTTCCCATTCTCCTTCGAATAGCCACTATTCATGTTCCAGGCTGCAAACCAAAGAAACTGTTACACGTTTACCGATAGACACAATTAACACATACGTATACACAGCACAACACATAAACACACACGGATTGTATTAACAATGGGTTTTATGGAAACGATTTATGAAACCGTGCCTCATTTAACATTCATTAAAAACAATGACTGCACGCTGCTCCAGATTTTTCGTTTCATTTTTCGTTGTATGTTGTTTTCATTCTTTCTAATTTTTTTTTCCTCTTCCGTTTTATAATGCATTGGTGTTTTCACGAAATTGATGTCCCATACGTACGGCTAATGAATTCTTATCATGGACGCACGCGACTTTCTTTTCTTCCGAGCGGATCTCCTCCACAAATATTTAGTTTTCATATGTAAATACCACCGAGCCATTTCACCGCTGCAGGCGGTGGATTTCTTCGAAAATAAAAACGAGTCGAGAAATGAAAATTTGCGATTGACATCATTGACGTTCTTTAAAATTTTTAACAATTGACTGTACTCTTAAAAAGCAAAATTAATGCATATTATTATAAAAGAGCAGAAATACCTATGGTTAATAGCCTTTTGCAACAATGAACTTTTTGTTGTAACAAATTCTCTTTAAAAGGACAACAGTTTTTAACTTCACTTCAAACATCAACTACATTAAATTACATCTGCACCGAATCGTTATTTTTTAAGACCAAAAAGTGTAGTAATTAGTACAAATATTTAGTAATTAATTACAGCTTTAATTGATATAAGATTCCACACATAATTGGAAATAAAGTCGTAAAGCTTCCTTTATGACAAGTACTTAATAATATAAAAGTTTATAATAAGATAAGTTTCATTAAGTAATGCAAACAAGTTTTGAGTTATTGCGAATCTATATTAGCATGTAATTATATTATAAAGCACAAAATTCAAAAAAATATTTAATTTAATTTTAAAGCACTTTTTGTAGAAACGTTATTGTGCGCTGCTGATACTTGAACTTACTGGAGACGTATGTCTATGAACTCCCGTAAGCTGACTCTATTATATAATTATATTAGTACAATTAGCAGCATCAACCTTTGTTATTTCTTATTTGAAACAATATTTGTTTTTCATATTTTTTCACGTCACTTAGTTTTATTTCAATTATGTAATACGTCGCGTAATAGTTATAAATATATATATTTTAGCACTTCTATAAGAAATTTGTTAATGTTCTTTTTTTTCACTTTATTGTCTTTACTGAAGATGTATTTACGATTAAAATAATGAAGAAAAAAGTGTTGTTTATCAAATAATAAGACAGACATAACAATTTTGGAATTCGCGCAAGAAAAATGTGGCTTTAAAATTATTACAATTGATGTGATGTTGTGGTTAAAAGAACATTGCGGTTTTACAAATAAAAATGGTTTTCCTCTCTAATAAGACTAGACGATTGAAACGACGTCGCGACGATGGCACATCAACATTAATCATCGTCGACAGACCGTTCTGTCTTCTCACGTTTTTCTTTAGATTTTACCATTAAATAGCGTTACGAATGTAAAAGAAATAATAACAAAAAAAAAACGTAATAAGAGTAGAATTCTTCGGCAAATCTATCAGAGCATAGAGCGAATATATTTCTCAAGCAGTTGTACAATGTACATATACATACATTAGTTTGGCGTAATCTAATTGGTTGCTCAACGTCGTTACTGTAAATTAAGTTTATGCATTCTTTCGTATACAGTCTTCTTTTTTTTTCCTTCGTTCGCCGTTGTTTGAGTTCTTCTCGTCGCTGCTGCGTTGTTTTTTTAACATATATACATTTTTTTTCCCGGCGTCGACAATAAATTCCGTATTTTGCAAAGCCGTTCACACGACTCCGGTACAATGCAGTTATTTCACAGAGGAACAAAGCGAAAGAAAAATATATAATAAAGAATGTAAGTAAATGCTGGATCGAAAAATACGAGCAGAATAGAAGGAAAGGGAACGATTCGAACGAGACATTTTGTTGTAATAAATGTATCACTTATCGGAGCGAAAGTCTCACGAGAGGTGAACGAAGAAATATTTCAATAATAATAAGAGAATAAAAAAAGAAGGAAGAATCCAATTAGAAATTCATATCTTGTTGGTGGTGGTCTCTTCGGAAGGAGAGGCGGGGCCGGGGATGCCCCGGTTATTGTTTCAATTTTTGCGTTCTACACCGAACCATCATCATCGTCCGGTCAAGTCAACTCTCACTTCGAGATGGGTGTGTGTCGTGCGTTTTGAAAACCGCATGAAAGCTATTCGAAACCCAAAACAAATGAGAGAAGAGAAAAAAAAACGAAACGAAGAAAGAAGAGCGGCAGAAACAAATGTGTCTACTTAAAACGAGAACGCACTCAATTTCACTTTCGATCCTCCTTGACATTTTTCCCTTTTTTTTTCTCTCTCACTTCGTCCTGTCCTCTTCACCATCTCGAACTTCGATTTGGAGATATCGGTTTTTCTTTAAGGAAATGCCATGTGTAACTCTTCAATTCTCTCTTTCGCTAAATATATATATATATATATTGTCAAAGTAATTTCTCCGCGCATAACTGACCTCGATTTATAATTCAAAATGTAATTCTCCGGAGATTTTTCTCTTTCACCATTTTTTTTGTCTTCTTCTTCGTTCGTTTCAACCTTGTTCTTTATTTATTTGAGTTATTGTTAAATAAAAAATTGTTGTTTCTTCAACTGTTTAGTTTCTCGACCTTTCGCGGCTTTCCTGTGAGATTGTGCGCGCGATTGCGTCCCGTGCCGAAAGGGCCGTTATGCAATGACCCGTTATTTTCGCGGTGGCGGCCGCTCTTACCTCATGCGAATTATCCCAGGCGACGATGGTGTTTCTGTGTATATGTTTATCCGCACTTGGTAATGGGCATGTCGTTAATCACTGGTAATTTTTGGGTAGTTCCCTTCGGACACTTGCGGAGTTATTGCTTTGCTGTAGTTCTTAGGAGTTGATCAAAATCGGTGTACCGACATGGTTCGCGATCGCCTTGCTTGTGCAGCGAGAGTTCTTTAAGTTCCGTTGGTAAATGCTCTCGCCATACTGACTGGTGAAGAGAACCGTAGCGGTGGTCACGGTGCTGCTCACCACAATAAGCGGAGTGGTACCATTGACGATGGTACGCGTTTCTACATGCGCCGAATATTACAAACGACGCTCCAAAAGAATAGACACCCACACGTATTTCGTCTACGAAATTATACAACTATTGTTTCCATACAAATACCACATCCTTTTAAACAATTTTAAAAGTGTTGTTAATCCCACCAAACAATACGTTTATCCATCCATTAATTCACTAATAATTTATTCTTCTTATCCTTAACAGGTGGCCCGCGAGCCATACGCGACTCTTGTTAATTACAAAATAGTTTTATCACAATTTAAAGCGATGTCAATAGGTCTTTATCCTAGCAAACATTACAGTTATCCATACATTAATTGAGATCATGAATAGATGACAAAACTGTGTTTTAATTGAATAGCCCCGGGCCACTGCAAATTAAAGAACAGTTTTAAAGGTAATTTAAACAAGTTATCACCAAACTTCATATAAGCATTATGATCCAGTCAACCTATCAGAATATATTAAATTTAATTTAAAAGTAAATTTAAAGAAGCAATATTTTTGTCAAATGTCATTTCAATTCAAATACAACAACTTTTTAATCAATCTACAAAAATATGTTGATAGGTCTTTATCATTTCAAACATATTCTTTAATTAATATCATAGTATTATGACTAATTATGTCTCCAGTAAAATTAGCGGCCCGCGGGCCACAAGCGGCGCCTATAAATCAATAAACTTGTTTGATAAATGATTCAAAGAATAAATTGTTTTACTTTTAGTCGTTAATTTAAAGAAAAAAAATCCCATTTATATTCAAATGGAACTTAGTGATTTCCAAAATGTTTCCATTCTTAAAGAGAAATTCTAAAAAGTCGTCGATTCAAAAATATACACTTATTTAGGTCAAAAATATCCGCAGTTTGCAGCAAATCTCAGATAATATTTTTATACTAATAATAATGTATTAAAGGTAACAATCTTTATGCCTTAATAAATATCTATGCTTTCATTATTTGTTTCATATTTTTTCTAAAAAAAATGAACTTTCTTTTATTAATAATTGTTATTAATTATTTCTTTCATCGATATAATCATTATAGTAATTATATAATCATTTTAATATTCTTATTAAATTAATTTATTAAAAAAAAACTTTTTCTTTAACTTTTAAAATTTTCAATTTTTTTTTTTTAATTTTCATTAAATTTGCCTTGATATACTAATTGTTAAATAAACGTAAAGAAAAACAATGAGATCTCATCGTATACATAAATACACCGGCAAGGCAACTTTCATTTATATTTAAAATTCATAGGATGCAATGCTATAAGGATCAGTAGACCATCCCGCTCCTAGAATAGAGAATCCATGTTCTTCAAGTTCTTAAGTAGTTCAGTATTTTACACATTTACTTAATGTATAAGTGAAATCTCTAAATTCACTGGAATTAATTGTTGTTTGTTTAGTATAAAATACTGAAATTTTAGTTTTCATATGATCAAATCCTCTAATACAAACCATAGTAGTCAGTAGTAGAGGTTTGTCTTTTGTCCATGTGACTTTTAAATCAATAATTATATTGATTACTTGCCCCAATTACTGTATAATTATCATTTCAATTTGATTTATTGATGAAATTATCTCGTTTTTAAATCCAATTTGTAATAATTGAAGTATTAACCGTAGGTCTTTATGTCCAAATATAATATGTATGTATCGTATTTTTCTCTAAACTATTTACGCTAATGGCACTAAACTCAAATCGTGGTGAAATCGTCTTGACCTTTACATCTCAAAATATGATGACCTCGCATAAATGTATTAGATAATTTATTTTCGGGAAACAGCTGTTACGGGGTTCCAATAACGTGAGGCCAGAAAAAGTGGACATTGCGTTTTGATGGTTCTTGTTATAAATAATTAATTTAAAGTTTTATTATGGTTTCCGGTTCTTAAAGATAAATGGGTTGGTTGGTAAACGTGATTACGTGTATACAAAGAGCAAAGAAAAAAAAAATGTGAAATGAAGACGAAGTGAACGATCTGCAGAGGAAGCGACGCGTCATTTTTCATAATGATCGTTATTGTATGATGAAATGGGAATACGCTGGAGTATGTAGTAGGCTCTACTACTACGGTTACTCAAATCGTAGGGTTTGGGTAGATCAATATTTGGGATGCGCATGACGTCGTCCACGTCCTGGAAGCGTAACGTGCGGTCCACGTTCGAATGCGGGTCTCCTTGTTTCCTGCTTTCTGACCAATATTTAACAAACTTGTTGCTACACACACAGCGGTATTCTACCGAATTCCATGATTTTCCCCAATCCCGAAATGCTTGCTCGCCTTGCAGACTTAGGTCGTTAAAAGGAGTGCCGCATTTAAAAAAAATGAAATCTCCTTTTTCTTCTTACTAAGCTTCGTCCACGTCGTCTTTGCCGTCGATTAATTGGGCTTAGGTGGTGAGGGCAATAATAAGTTTTCGAGGGTTTTGATTCGAAGTAGTAATTCGTTGGCGCCACATATGGTGGTGGCGTCGAAATTGCGCCCCCTGTGCGAGATCTGAGTGCAGCGGACCCTAGCGATCCTTCAGGGCGAGGCCTCCAGCCGGTGTCGAGCACCGATCTGGACGCCTATTCTGAAAGAGGAGTCGCGTCGGCGCGCGTCCTGCTGCCCTCCAATAGATTTGGCCGACTCGGGGTGTGTACAACGCGACCGGTGCATTACACCAAGCAAGCCACAAAATATCATGTGAATTTCGCGACTTCCGCCGGACAATCATCAGAAATAAGATAGTGTAAGCCTGTGGGTAACGATTCCTTGGACAGATGTGGCGACGCGGGGATCTATTCACCTTCTGGACGACTCTCTGAGAATTGTGACTGAGCATTAGGTGCGGTGATTGTGATACGATCATGCCTTGCCTAAACGGAAATTCGGACGGAAAGCAAGTAGGACTATTCTTCCTGCTGGTCCTGCTGCTTGCCCGACTACCGGCCGCCTGCCCGGAACAGGATGAGGATATTCCCCATAACGAGTAAGCCTTGTACCGCAATTTCAGTTAGTGTCGGTTAGTTTTGTATATAAGTTAAGATGGCACAAAACTAATTGCCAGGGAGGGTCGATTGGGCACGTACCCAATATTTTCAAGGAGGTAGCCTTCACTTCGAGGGCCGGATCATAGCATGGGGGTCAGGGCGTAAGGTGCCAGTAAGACGAAAGGGTATAGTCGGGCGGCCGAGGTAGGGCGTATTGATCCACCCCTACTCCTGGCCCATAGTGGACTAGTCTTGCCTTTTAGATGGAGATACAAATCATTTCCATAATTACAATAAAAATTATATATAGATTATTATAATAATAAGCTCTGCAATGAAAATCGATAATATCTAATTATTTTTCCTATCAACGTGCAAAATGTTAATACGATGTTTTTACTTGTAGAGTGAAAAATTGGGCGCTTAAATTCGGTGTAGATTTGTGGGAGTACGGTAGGCAGTTAACTAGGATGAACGAACTGCAGCGGGTAAGAACGCCACACCATCACAATTTAATGTTCTTGCTAAAATAATCAAATTTGTAGAAGTATCACGAAGTAGATATAGACGTAGTACGGAAAGATGGACTGATATTAATTAGGGAGATGGCAGCCGAAGTTAAGAATATGATGGACTTCAAGATGAGCGCCGTAATGGTAATTGTGAAAAAAAAACTTTTAAGAAATAGGAAGAAAACGCGAAGTTTAATATTGGTTGTTGCAGCGAATCATGGATTCTGCGGAGCAAGCTGCTCTAACTCCTCAAGCGGACAACGGGCAACCGTTTAGGTATTACAACGCGGAAAAATTGAACATGTTTGGGCCTGAAGGTAGGCCGGCAGAAGGTACAAGGGAAATGATCCTGCATACCAATCCTCATTTTGAGCATCTGCCCGTTAATAGTTCTCTTAGCACGGTATTGCTGCCTCCGCATGTTGATGAGAAAGGTGAGATTACGAATATGCCCTTAAACAAAAACGCCTAATGATATATATTAAAGATCCCGATGTTACTAACGCTATTCAATGGTCCGAACACTTGGACCCGCTTTTTGTGAACAACTATGAGGGTGATCCAACTTTGTCCTGGCAGTTCTTTGGAAGTTCCTCTGGTTTCTTGCGACGGTATCCAGGTTCGTGCAGTCAATCTTAAGTTTTACTCAGGCTAATGATACGTGCTTCATTAGGAATCGCGTGGCCTCCTGAAGACATGTCTTCCGTTTGGCAGCGCGCCAGGAGTGCGCGTAACGTTTACGATTTTCGCTCGTCCATGTGGTACGTTTCCGCGGCCACATCCCCGAAGGACATTGTCATATTAGTTGACAATTCGGGATCGATGGGTGGACGAAGGGCTGCGATTGCTCGTGCCATAGTCGAGGCTATCCTAGACACCCTCTCCGATAATGACTTTGTGAACGTTTTCAAGTTTTCTGACAGCACCGACGAGACCGTGCCTTGCTTCAAGGACGCCTTGGTTCAGGTAAGCTAATACCATCAGCGCTTTATTTATTTTACCTTATACCGTTTTATTTAGGCAAATAATGAGAACAAGAGGTGGTTGAAGGAATCGCTGAGAAACTTGAAACCTGAAAACATCGCGAACTTCACATCAGCTCTAGTTACCGGCTTCGAAATCCTTCATACGGTATGTTATTTTTATGAAGTCCTGAAGATGAAATACTAACTCTAATATATTTTCAGTACAATCGCACTGGGAATGGGTGTCAGTGCAATCAGGCAATCATGTTAATAACAGACGGACCACCTGGTACATACAAGGAAGTCTTCAAAATGTACAATTGGCCGCACAGACCTGTACGCGTTTTTACCTATTTAACAGGAAAGGACTCCGGAAGCGCCAATGAAATGCATTGGATGGCATGCGAAAATAAAGGTATTTATAATATAATATAATAATTATATATTTTTAATATGATAATGAAGTTTTCTTAAAACAATTTTTTTAAACGTGATCTATACTTTAAAGAGAAAGGAAGATAAACCAGATCTAAAATCATGTTTGTATATAATTATTTGTCATATATATATATGAATATGAAAGTTTCATATTAATTTCATCAAAATATGAAAGAGGAAAGTGATTGAACATTGGTTGTTATTCTAAGGATTATAGTTCTTATTTAAAATTAAATTTACTTAAATTTGACCTATATTTGAAAGAGAAAAAATATTTGTGAATAATAAAAAGTTTTTATAAAACGAAAGTTTTGATCTATAATACAAAATTTTAATTATAAAACTAAATATATTAAATTGACAAAATTTATTGTTTTTGAAGAAATATAAATTATAATAGTATATTTTAAATAGAGAAAGAATAATATTTATTGAACTAAATAGAGAAGGTTATTGACCGAAGACATCCTCAACAGTTTATTTAAATCTTGTTTTTTTTTTCATTTCAATATATATTTGAAAAGTTATAAATATTCGCTTGTGATTAGGATACTATACAAGGATCGCTGGTGTGAAGGAAGCGCAAGAAAAGGTGCTGCATTACATCGAAGTGATGGCAAGGCCCATGGTGATGTACCAGAATGACCATCCGATACAATGGTCCCCGTCGTATGTTGGTGGAAGGGTGAGTAGTATATCGATTCAAACCAATGCTTTCCGCAATGACGCAAACGCAAGCAATCATGAAACCATCAATTATTTTCAGTCTGACAGCCTGTCCGATGACAAACGGGGGCAATTGATGACCTCGGTTACCACCCCAGTATTCGACCGCAGGAACCACTCGGTTTGTGAACCCGAATCCTAACAGCAAGACCACTAAATAACAGAATCTGTTCTTTACTATTTCAGATCCGTGTTGCAAATGTTCTCGGAGTCGTTGGTACCGACGTGTCGGTCGATGAAATAAAGAAACTCGTGCCATCTTACAAGGTGAGTACATCATCCAGTTGAATCCAGCATCCAGAATAAAACTTAACTCTCATTTTACAGCTCGGAGTAAACGGTTACTCCTTTATAGTGAATAACAATGGGCACGTACTGTACCATCCCGATCTCAGGCCGCTGGTGAGTAGATCAGTGCGACTTTCGCATGGGCATTGAGAACTAATGCATGTATTTTTATAGCATAACAATGAGCAATACGAGGATACTCTGGAACCAGCTTACTGCTCGGTAGACTTGACCGAAGTCGAATTAATCGAAAGCGAAAATAGCCCGAGGGAGAACCATTCCGCCTTGCTGGATGTAAGTGTATATGGCAATTTAAAAAGAGAGAAAAACACTACATTCATTAATTAACTTCCTTCGAATATCTATAGAAAGCGATTTCTATTAATGAATATTTCGTTTCGTAGTTGCGTCACGACATGATAGATCAGAAGGAAGGCGAAACGGAACTGAATGTTAAAATCCACTACGACGAAATGGTAAGGAATTAAAACATTAATAAACTTAAAAACATTGAAATATGCATTTCTAATTTATTTTTGGTATGATTCATTATATTGTTTGTTTCTTATTCGTGAGCAGAGGCGTGTCACTACAAGACGACACAAATATTTTTACAATCCCATCGAAGGAACGCCCTTTTCATTAGGTCTTGCTATACCGGAAGGATATGGAATGTACGAGCTAGTTGCCGAACAGGAGATCAAGCATAGCCAGAAAAATGGTAACTTTATTATTTCAGATGTTTTTTGTTAAGCGTTAAATTAATGTTCTGTTTCAGTTGAAGAATATTTCAAAGGAAATAACTGGAAGGTGCATCCGGATTGGTATATAAAAATTTAAAAACCCAGCAAACACATTTTTAAATTTTTCTATATTCAGGGTGTACTGCGAATACAGCAGCGGTTCATCCGGAGAACAGTGGTTTAAAAGCGCTGAAGAGAGGGTCCTTCACTTCCTGTCGAGGTCTAGAAGACCTGGCTGGAAGTGGATGTCGCTGAGACCTAGGTCTCCCACACAAAGGGAACACCATCATCTTTCCACAAAGCAAGACAAAGACGCATATTTCTGTACGTTTCTCTATATTACGTACGTCTCGGGATTCGATACTGATTCCTTTGTTTTAATTTCGCAGGCGATAAAACATTGCTGCAATCTTTGGTTTTGGACGCAATGGTAACGGAGGAACTGGAACACCGCAGCCCGTATCCCACGCACGCCGAGGACAAGCAGTAAGTTCGCATCGATTTTCCTACCGCAACGCATGCAAACTTTACCAAATGCACTTAATAACAAAATAATTAATTTATTTAATCTCTGCACATTAGCCCAATTGCAACACTTTTGGTTTTATTACAAAGGTAAAGTAATTAAGAACAATTGCATAATACCAACGTAGTTTTAGTGCCATTCGAAAACCGCGGTATATGGTGCAATTCAGATATGTTTCTTATAATTCTAGAAGGGAAACATGATGCAGAAAAATGAACTTAATGTAAATTTGTGTTTTATGTGTTCACTGTTAATGCAAACGCCAGGATTAGTGAGTATACGTGTTTTAGTAGGGACTCAAGTACTACTGTTTGTTCTTTACATGTCCTTAGGCTATTTCTTATCTGTATTTGCAGGGAGCTTACTATCCATAAGAAACGCAGCCTCTCCAACACTCTAATCTAATTGTCTCTTACAGCCAAGGCCATCAGATGTTTGGATTGACGATGTCTTTCGTAGCAACGAGGAGCGGACTGTTGCGCTGGACCAACCACATGGAGCCCGCCGACGCAACACAACCGTAATAACATCCGGTGACAGTAACAGTTTCCTATACCTAACAACCCTTCTAGGCATTTCAGTGAGGCGAACGTACGGGCTATGGACGAGACATGGTACAAGCGTGCCGTGGATCAGCACGCCGTCGAACCTGAGAGTTTCGTATTTTCGGTACCCTTCGACGTGGCTTCCCACGAGAAGCCCTTGGTTACAGCCACCCATGCAGTGTTTGTCGAACACAAGGGTCATCGTGCTGCCGCCGCCGTCGTTGGTCTCCAGTACCAACATGCTACGTTGGCATCGCACTTCATCAACATCACATCAGCTGTAACATCCTTGGCTATTTGAACTTAACTCAATGACTTTTGGTTTGTTTTGTTTTTTTGCTTCCTCTGTTTCCAGTGTACCGGATCTTCTGCTTGCAAGAAGACTTGCGCCAGCGAAGAATTGGATTGTTACATTCTGGACAACAACGGTTTCATCATCATATCCGAGAATCACGACCACACCGGCCGCTTCTTCGGTCAGATTGACGGTACTATTATGGATTCGCTGGTCCAAGACCGCATTTACAAGAAGGTTCCGGTCTATGATTATCAAGGCGCTTGTACCAACAGCAAAAGCACCTATGGCGGTGACGCCAACAAAATTTCGGTAAACCACCGATCTGATCTCCGGTCAAACCCAGATTCTCATTCATTACTTCTATTTACTTTCAGCCACTAATGCCCATGAAGATGTTCTTTGGATGGGTTGCTCAAGTGTTCATTATCTGGACAGGTTTTATCAGAACTGCTTACGGTGCCGCTTTGGCTTATGCTCAAGATGAAGGTAATCATAATCCCTAACTACTCGAACTATATATCTAAATATAGTATATTGTTTTATTACTTCATTTAACATAATACTTAAAGACGATTATATTTCAGATATAATTGATCCTGATGATTACGATGCTTTTGATTACAATAACGGCGATGATGTCATTGGGGATCAAGAATCAATGATACCTCCAATCACGTTCTCCAACAATCCCTCATTCGTTGCACCTCCAATAGAGTCGGACCCAATGGATGGAGTGGATATGGGACAATATGGCGTCAGAGCATGTGACAGGAAGGTGGACTTATACATCCTTCAGCCGGAGCGGTTGAACACTAGCGGCCAAAGCAATCCGCTGAAGGGCAAGCTGACCAATTGCCACGTCACTGGTTGCGAGAGGCCTTTCAGCGTGCAAAAGGTGCCTCATAGCAATTTGATACTATTAGTAGTAGACACATTATGCCCTTGTGGCAGCAAACAACTGAGCATCACGCCTCAGGAACTCGTATACGACAGTGGAAATGGCGGTTGTCTTCACAAGCCGAAGGATAGCCTTTATAGAAGACGCCCACCAAAATGCATCAACTACCACCCAGAGGTATGAATTCAATAACATTTCCTTAATAAAACCGTCAATTTCAAAGTTATTATAGACAAATAACAAATTTTAACAACGATTATCAATCATAATTTCATAAACTGAGTCAGATCTTAAAATTAACAAAACATTATTATTAGAATATGTCATTTAACAAAAAAAACTTTCATATATCACAGATTCATTGCATCAATGCATACGTGTTCTACTTCTATAGTATATAGAAATTAACACATTCTATAAGTTAAATTTGCTATTGTCTTTCTAAGTTTATATTTTATTCCACCTACTTCTCAGAATATCGCAGCTAACTAACTGTGACCTAATTTGTCAAGCTTGTTAAAGTGATCAAATCAAAATTCGCTTTACATTAATTTGGGTTATATAACATTAGTTAACCCTATTTGCCTATTCGTGTGTAACAGAAGTATATTATGAGTCATCTTCTAACAAATTCACTTGTGTTACAAATTTAGCTGTATTCGAGCGTAACAAGATTTTAATTTCCAATAGATTTGGCGAATCTAGTGAATCTTCGTGAACTCAGTCAATTCACATCATTTGATGAGTAACTATTCGCCTGCTTGTTGCGGTTAACTAACTGTGACCGCATTAGTGAAGTTCGTTCAAGTGTATCACAAATCACAATGTGAAACTTGAGTCGACTCGTTTGTCGCAAACTGAAATTTGATACAGATTAATATATCCAAGTAGTAAGTCCAATATTCCTTTGACTTTTAGGTCTCAGTTCGTTAATATGTTACTATAGTTACGATATTTCTTATCCTGACTGAGCTCAATTTGCATAGAATATGATTGATAATCATGTAAAAATCGATATATTGACTAATCTTAACTATTTCTTCTATTTCTGTTTACAGGAAATAGAGATTCATATATGCGGATCTGCGTGTATGCTTAATCTAAATCGCGGATTATTGCTGGTAATAACATTGGTTTTGAAATTGTTTTACATGTCGTGATCTGGTAATGTGTACTAAACGAGCCACCATCCGTTACGATATAACATTAACATTAATAACCTATAATCCGTACATGTACCAAATCTAATTGCACCAGTATATGAAGTGTGAGTGTGTGTCATCAATTAGCCTTTGTACATGTATTCTGTGTGTATCATTTGTAAAGGTCGCAACAACAACAAAAAAAAAGAAAAACATAATAATATGTGAGTCTAGTTAAATTTTTTATATAATTTATATATATACATAAGTGGTGGATATGGAGGCGTGAATAAGGATTGGAATGTATTTGGAAACGTTTAATCTTGTCGACAATAAGGAATTCATTTTGTGAAAGATGAAATGCGATACTTGGATATTGTAAAAAGTATTAATTTATATAAATATATTTTAAACGTAGCTTAAATAATGATGATATATATATATATAAAAAAAAATATTTGTGAAAAAAAAAGTTGAGGAAAAAAAAATGGATATGAGAAACCAAGTAACTTGGATTCAACAGTGACAATACTAAAGAAATGCACAGTATGGAATACTGGACTGGTGTGAAATTGAGAATCGATCACTGGTGCATGATGCTTCGAGCATAAGATGAAGATATAAGCAAACATATACAGGTTACTTAGACTTAGTCGAATTGCACTTCTGCTGTTGTAAATAACAAAAGAAAAAATAAATAATATTATTATTATATACATTTATATATATATACATAATATATGAATATATTATAAAGATGTGTTATATATATGGAAAATTTTTACTTTATCTATTTTTCTTTTTGTGAGAGGAACCGATGCTTGGGCTTCATTCTATTGAATTCTAGCAGAGGATGTGGACGAAACAGAAACGAAATTTTTAAAAGAAATTTGTTGAAGCTAAGCGCTGATCCGAAAGAAAAAAAAACAAACGAGAATCAGCGCGAAAAAAAAAAGTACTTATAAATATACTAGTAATAATTAAAGAAAAACGTAAAGAAATATACATGTATATTTGAATTATTCAGGGTGGCGCGCTTTTTACTAACTACTTGTCTGTTTATTATTGTTTGTAAAACAACACTAACTTTTATGAATCTATATGTGGAACTATATGCGAATGGTGGAAATATTGTTATATTTCCAGTTTGGTCTAGCGACTTGAATGAATGTATGTATAATTAGTATAGTGTGTTTGATACGGCCACTCTAGTTTTAGGATGAATATAACTACACTATACTAAAACCGAGTCTTCCAATTAAAACAAATAATTATTTGTAAGTAAGTTATAAACATATTATATATATATTATAAAAAAAAAGTGGTGAAAAAAAAAATTAACACGATGACGATGATACTTGTAGGATCTGTAGTATTTACTAATGTATTCAATTCCAAGCAACATGTGTAGAGCATATCAAGCATTGTTTATTTGTCGAGGAATAAAATCGTGGGATGAAAATTACCAAAAAAGGATATATATATATAAAAATATATAAATATTAAAAAGAAAGGAAACATAATGTTTGTTGTCTGTTGTATGTATACTTCATACTAGACTTAAACACATATCTTAAACGAATTGCATAGTTTTAATTAAATAATATATTTATCACAACTCTGTTTACTTTTCAACCTTATTGATATCAATAATAAATCAATATTATAAATCAAACACTTTATTTGCACATTTATTTACTATTCCTTTGCCTTTTTCTTTTATTATACAGATATTATAATTCGTTCAATACAAATGGTAAGTATCGAATGATTACATCCTTGAAATACAGCATTATTATAAGGATGCATTATTATATGTAAATTTTATTGTTCCTAATTTTAGTTTCTAATGGATGAAAATACAAAGTATCCTGGGATTAAAAACCAACAGCTTTTCACTTGTCCACTTGTGGACAAGCAATTCTTAAGTTATAAATTAACAGTAGAGTATAGTAATACCTCGCATAGTGCCAGTAATCGTTCCAACTAAATAAAATAGAGAGAGAAAAACGCACAAAATGATATAATAAATTTTGTATAAAAAATATTTGTAATTAATAAATTGGCTTCCAAAACTAATCAAAGTTTATTTGTATATTTCTCAATTCAAAGGCTAGCACAACAAACATTCAGCTTTCATATGCATATATTGGATTCATTCTATCTATTATAGTTTTCGAGTAAATCAATGAAATGTGAAAACACTGCTTTTTCGAACGTTCGTAATTTCAAAGTTGATTTTTTTTGATACGTATTACAGTAATATGGATAAGAGCACAGGAATGTATATACTTTAGCAGATATTTGGAAAATTGCTCACTGCTACTAATATTCGCGCCTCACAGTTTGGAAAACGCTGATCCACAGTATGCATAAGCTCCGTAGCCAGTTGGTTTGGGTGATTCTCTAGCCGATGATGGTATC